TGGGGGGGGGGGGGGGGGCGTGCTGAGCTCGGTGCTGGTCTCTTTCCAAATATAAATACACGTGTCAGAACTCCTGGAAAATCCTCCCTCCACCCACCACGCAAGTGCTCTCCTTGCTCTGCCAGCTTTGGAGAGGGGTGGGGGGCGGTGCCAGGCACCGGCTGGCTGGCTGTAGGTTTACTGCATCCGCTGGGTGTGTAGCCCGCGAGCCCCCTGCTGCTCGTTGTAGAAGAGATGACACTCGGGGTCTCCCCGGATGGTTGGGGCCCCCTGGATCAGCTTCCCGGTGTTGGGGTTCACACACCAGCACTCCCCACGCTGCCCGTTCAGAGACATCTTGCACTGAGGAGAGAGAAGAGGACATAGAGGACACCCTGATAAAACGGAGGTCCCACCAAAACGCAGGCTCCATTCATGAGGTCTGGGTGTGCCTGCAAATCTGCACAGCTAATAAGCTCCAACGTGACTCACGCTGGTGCTGCTGGCCCAGGGACTGTGCTCTGGCTATCAGCAAGGCTGCTGGGGATGCCTCGCGATGGAAAGACTCGGCCCCCATCCACGGGGAGGTCCCATCCAGCCGGGGGACCCAGTGTACTGCAGTTCCCTCGTAGTGTGAGGTGGAAAACGCACGTAAAAGTCAGCGTTAGCTCGGGTCCTACTATGTGCTGGGCGTGGCGTAAGCAGTCATATACACTGCTCATTTACAGTTCATATCTAACATATGCTCATTTTCTTATTTTTTTTTTTTTTTGCAGTACGCGGGCCTCTCACTGTTGCGGCCTCTCCCATTGCGGAGCACAGGCTCCGGACGCGCAGGCTCAGCGGCTGTGGCTCACGGGCCCAGCCGCTCTGCAGCACGTGGGATCTTCGCGGACCGGGGCACGAACCCGCGTCCCCTGCATTGGCAGGCGGACTCTCAACCACTGTGCCACCAGGGAAGCCCCTAACATACACTCATTTAATCCTTTCAACCACCTTGTGAAGTAGGTACCATTACTTTACCACTTTAAGGACGATCGGAAGGAAGCCCAGATGGGTTCAGTAACTTGCCCAATGTCACAGTGCTAGTAAGAGCCACAGCTGAGATGCCAACCCAGGCATTCCCCTCCCAGGATCCCTGATCTTACCCATAAGCCAATTCCTCTTGCAAATCCCCATTTACCCATAAGGTTCAGAAGAAAAGAAGATCACTATTTGTTCTTTTGAGCTCCAAACAAAGTAGCTGGCTTACATTTAGAGAGCAGGTGTATGAACAAATAGCTTTTAACGCTAGACTGCTATTTCAAAGGGCAAGACGCCTGGGCTATGAAGGAGATGGGGAAGTGAGACCCCGCCCCCACCACGGGGGATCAGCAGAGCCCTGTACCCCATCTCCTGGCTCTGCACACCCACCCTTTAAAAGTCAGTTCTGACTTCCCACTAGGACCATCAGGGGAGCTTTTGAAAAATCTGGTGCCCAGAAAGCACCCCAGACTCACAAAATCTGGATCTCTGGGGGTGAGGCCTGGGCATCTGTATTCTTTAAAGCTCCCTAGAGAAGCCCAGTGTGCAGCTGGGCTCAGAACCTCTGCTGGAAAACAGAATGGCCGGTGGAGTCCACACCATCTCAGTCCTTCTCTCTGCCTTACATGAAATGCACACAGACTTTTTCTCCCTTATACAAGGGATGAGCTGGGGGAAGTGAGCAGTGTACTCACTAGGTGAAAGGACAACTGACCATGTTAAACAGCCACTAACAATCATCACTACAAACTCTATGTGGTTAGGTAAACAATATTAATAATGATAAGGGGAAACATGCATACACACATAGAACATTAGAAGGCATATGAACAGAATGTAAAGGGGAGGAAAAAGGGCTCCTGGGTGTTTTACTTACACTTTCTACATTTTCTCTAATGTACTGATAACACTGTTCTGTTACCGTTTCTAGAAATATTTCAAGTGGCGTTTCTCCACCCCCGATTCTCCATTCCCTGAGATACTTGAAAACCAGAGAGCCTACTTGGTCAACAATGGTTTAAATCAGTGATTCTGGAAATGCCGTCCACGGATCATCTGCGTTCTCTGAGAGCTGGTTAGAAACGCAAACTCTCAGATCCCGCTCGACCGTCTGAATGACAGTCTCTGGGGACGAGGCCCCAGAATCACCTGCAAGTGATTCTAATGCTCAATAAAATCAAGAGGCACTGGTGTGGGGCGCTATTTCTCCTCCAGGAGGCTCCCTCCTATCCTGGACACCAAGCGCTGCTGGCAGGTAAGCTGGGTACATGGAGTCAGGCTCCGACAAGCCTGAAGCCAAGAAGAGAAGCCCCGCCCCCGCCTTCCCTGGCCTGGCAGCTGGCATCCCCTCCCCCCGCTTGGCTGGCATCCCCACCCACCTCCTCACAGAAGACTAGGTCTCCCGCTCAGAGGCTTACAGGTGATGGGGCAAGAAAAAGGCACACCCAGGGTCCAGGGCCAAGGAGATCCTCGCTCACCTGTTTGAGGTTGTACAGGCCATGCTTGTCACAGTTGGGGATGTGCAAGGAGTAGAGGTGCTCCAGGGGACCCCGCTCGTCGGGAAGGCGCATGGTGGAGATCCGCTCCAGCACCTGGTCCAGTTCCTGCTGGCAGGGGGTCTGTGGGCACAGGCACGCGGAGAGGATGCTTAGAGTGGAAACAGGCCCGTGATTCTTCTGAAGGGACTTTCCCAAGGCCACACAGCTCGCTGGTGGCACCAGGAACTTCTGACACCCAGCCCAGCAATCTACCTACCATACGATTACGCTCCACCGCACCCCTAAAGGAAGCCACCTGCATATGAGTGTTCCCTCCTCTCCCCCATCTGTGTCAACGGCCTTCAGGGGTCAAAATGGGAGCTACTTGCAAATACTGAATTCAAGTGGCTGCCCCTTGAGCATCTCTACACCCACCCAGTGGCCCAACCTCCATTCCCTTCCATCAACCCAACCAGGGTCAAGACAGCAAAGCTGAGCTGGAAAGAAGAGGGGTAGCTGAGGGCAGCGCACTGCAACAAGAGTGGGGCAAGTTTAAGCAGATCCAACTATATCTCTAGCATCCATTGTTTTGCCTGCGTCCCGAAGCCAAGCAGAAACGTGGAGATTTTAGAAGGAAGGGACTTCAAGTACCCACACGCAGAGCCCATTTCACAGCCAAAGATACTGAGGCCCCCCGCCCCGCAAAGAGAAACTGATCAGCCTGAAGGTCACTGAATATGTCAGTGGCAGAATCCGAAAGGAAAGTGCTTTGCCCGCAGGCACACAGGACGTGGATCTCATCGGGGGGCCCACATCCCCGCTTGCTGGGACACACGCCCTTTGCACGTCCTCCCACCCCTCCAACCAGACCCGACCCGCTCTGACCCTGGCAGGTGGCGGCCGCAGCTTCTTGGGCTCCTCCAGGCCAAGGTGATGTTTGCCACCCTTGCCCATCTGCCGGTGCTGTTCCGTGACCTTCTCCCGGAACATGGCCAGCTCCTTCATGCCCGACTTGAGGGGCTTCCGGCCAGCACCACCTCCACCTCCCAACAAGTTCATGTTCCCGTCCACGTGGTTCTCGACCAGGCCTCCCTCAGAGTGGTCCTCGCCATTGTCTGCAGAGAGAGGGAGGGAGGAAGGGCTGCAGGTCCAGTTTCCAGAGAGGTGGGCCCTCCAGGGACTATCTGGACCCTCCCCCCCCCCCGATATTGACAAGGAAGGCGATGACTAACATCTAAGCAGTGGTGCTAAGTGATTTATGTGGATGATCAATTTCGGTTTCACAGCAACAACGAGCACAACTAGTAACGTCCCCCAACTTCTGTAGAGGGAGAAGCTGAGGCTCACGGAGGTCAATTTCTTGACCAAGATCACAATCCAGGATCTGAATGCAGGCTCTCTGACTCCAGAAAAATGCCTGGATCACCTACTCTGCTCTGCCTCCACCCCAGGAGGTCAAGGGGGAGGATGCGGGTCGGGGAGCAGACAGGCACAAACGAAGGATGACCATGTAGGCAAGGCTCTCACCGGGGAACGGGTAATGACCATCACTCTTCCCTGAAAGACCTCTCAGATTCACCCACCACTAACTACCGCCGTTTAAAGTCTTCACGATGTCTGGTCGGAAAAGGCATGGATCGGATGAGCTTTTAAAACTCATGCCGCAGAGATCACTGGGCCGTGCTGTGTCTGGCGGGGAAGTGAGGTGGAGAGCCACGCTGCCGCCAGAAGAACACAGCGTCCAGCCCCCCTCCGCCATCACTCTTTATCTGCCCGTCTGCTTCCTCCTCTTGTTGCCCTGACGCTCCACTCCTACGGCTGCTACAGCACTATCCCGGGACCCTGATTTGTCTCCTGTCTATGCTTGCTGCCCCACCCCCCATTACATCGAGAGCCCCCAGAACAGGAACGATGATCACGCTGTAGTTTCATCTTATCGCAGGGCGCGTAGCCTCATCCAGATGTCTGTCCAAAGACCATCCACTGAGTCTTTCGACTTTCTTAAACCTCCAGCCAGCCGGCAATAGGGAATGGCTCCTACGGTGCACACAGCTCAGGTGGAGGGGCCCTGAGAGCACTCCTCCCCTCCCACGGTCTCATGCAGGCTTAGGCACGTCCAGCCAGGGAACAGAGGGAATGGTATGGAAGGGTCCTAACCAGGGAGACAATTTCTGGCAAGCTCTAGGTGGGCCGGGGCGCAAACAGCCCCCCGCAGACACAGCAGAGCCAACAGGGTCTCAGACCACACTGCCTGGAGAGGCCCCCTGCAGGGCTCAGGGAGCAGGCAGTGGGAGTTTCCAAACAAATCTTGCACATTTTCTCTTCCCCTCTAATGCACCTCCGAAGACTTACAGCCTGGATAACATACCCGAATGGCTTTTACAATATTTCTACACAAGGGTTTCAGGCGAGGCGCCTAGTACTTGGCGGTCCTTTCAGAATTCAGGCACTGTGTGGTGGGCTCAGGGGGTTGCTGTCCTGGGCATGCTATACAGTGGAAAGAGCTGGCCCTTACCTGTAAAAGGGGGGCCATGATACCCCCTCTGGGTTGTGCTCTTCGGTGTTCACTCCCTCACCAGCTAAGGTGTGGGACCCTCTTCCGTGCCTTGGGGAGCCAGCCCCTGCATCCTCGGAGCATGCTCCAGCAGACTGTGGGGGACCAGGCACCAACAGGGTCCCTGGAAACGGAGGAGTTCAATAGAGGTTTACTCCCATCCCTTCCCTTTGCACTAGGCCTGATGCCTGGTCGGTTCTCACTAGCTGGAGCATCCTTTAGAACCAGGCACGTTATCTCCAGACTGGCAAGTGCTGGATAGGAGGGCGGACTCGAACTGAATTCCAGCTCTGCCACTTTTTATACCAGCTGTATTTCTCCTGCATATATATCCGCACTGTGCCTCTGTTTTTCTTAAGCGTAAACTACTGGATAATAATAGTTCCTACTTTACAGAACTGCTGAGAGTATGTTATAGGTAAAGCCGTTAAGATACAGTGTGGAATGCAGAAACTCTATGTCCTGTTGGTGGTAATTACTTGGACGATGATGATGAGGACGCTGGTGATGACAGCTGCCTCAGTGATCTGCTACCCCTGCCGTGTGGAACCCAATCAAGAAGCAGGAAGCACAGGAAGATAAGCTTCTGAGCATCAGAACAGCAGTCACCACATCCATGCATTGTAAAGCCGTGATGCTTTGCTCACGAGTCAAGGAAAGTCAGTGCATGAAGAACCTTGACGGTTCGCAGTAGCACTGGTCAGATAAGCCTGGTTTCTGCATGTCTGGTTTCCAAGGCCACCACAGAATAAAATCAACAAAATTAAAAGGAGAAAAAGGAAGGCACCTGGTCAGTGGCAAGAAGTACCAAATGGCAGAGAGGAAAGAGGACAGTAAAAAAACCAAACCTAAGAACTCCGGGGACATTTAGTGCACAGCAAACAACTCCACAGCCATTGATGACCCCTGAAAACTTCCACATGGTGTGGCCTGAAACAAGACTAGTGTTGATAATATGACTTTGGGGCATCCAAAAAGGAAAGGGGTAAACATGACAAGTATTCAGTATTAAGAAAGATATCTATCCAAAATTGTTAAACTTTAGAAAATTAAAAATGGAAATATTTAAATGAGTAAGCCCTTTGAAACCCGGAAAACTTTTCTCTAGAATGGCTATTTCTCCAGGGGCTCCGGGTAGCCCAGATTTTATCATAAATAAACCAAGCGCAGATCAGATCCTGTTCCAGAAGCCCCAGCACCACCTGCAAGGGAAGGCTGATTTGAAGCATCTGCCACCAAGTTGGGTGGGAGTCCCGATCTACCACGTTCTACATTCGCCCGCCCCAAACTTTCCTCACCCACCCTGCCCTCCCCTTTCTGTCCCTGAAGCTGAAACAGCAGAAACCCAGAGGCCCCAAGAGAAGCAGTCCTGGTTCCCCGGCTCAGCTACCGGCCCGGTTCCCCTGAATGGGGACTGGCTGCAGCTTTCCCCTGGGACCGGTCAGGCAGCTGAGGCCAACCACGAAGATGATCCCACCCTCCCTGTTCAGATACCAGAGGTAGAGGGCAGAAGGCTGAAGGAGAGGCTTGCGAGAGTCTGAGACAGACCTGGCAAATAAATAGGATGGGCTGATTCAGGTAACCCTTCATTCTGCTTAAGATTAACCTTGAAGCATAAGGCAGATGTTGGCACAAATGGGGGTGGGGGGCGGGGGGGACTCATCCCCATCCTCACCATCAGTTCTGCCATTTTCATTTCTACAGCCTTCTCTGTTTCTCTGCACCTGGACCTGGTGACACAATTTCAGGCTCCCCGTCTTCATCCCTGCAGGTGCTGGCCCGGGGAACACAGGAGGAAGACAGCAAGACGCCTAGAAAAGTCCTGCTTCCCTGGCTGCATTGGGAACCGTGCAGGATCAAAGGGGGAAAAAAATGGGGACCTCTGGGTTGCCCTCGCCCAGCCCCTCGTACCTGAGTTCACCCTGGGCACAACAAACCCATCCTCATCGTGCCCTGCCCAGCCTGCTTCCTGCCCACAGTGACAGAGAGCATCTATGGAGACCTCAACACCACTTCTGCACCCGACGCCCTGAGTTCTGCTCACAAAGTAATTAGACAAGGGCTCTGGGAATTTCCCACCATTTCTGGAACCATCCGCTCTGCTGTCACGAAGCCTGTGACTCTCAGAAGTTCGCCGGGTTCCTCTCTTTTGGGGGCAGGCTTGCCCGCCTGCCCCGAGGCTTAAATTAAGACAGCCCGTCTCCACTGTGGCTGCAATTACACGTTCTCAGGTTGAAACACAGCAGGATGGCCCACGTTTAGTCCCCTTCAGGAACGTCTGGGAAGGCTCTGCTCACCAGAACCCAATGCCTGGAACATTCTCGGGATCAGGGTCTCCCAACCCCAGCGCTACTGTCTTTGGGACCAGAAGATTCTTTGTTAGGAGCTGTCCTGTGTAAGACGCCCAGCACCATCCTGCGCCTCTACCCACCAGATGCCAGCAGCACCCTCCCCGAGTTGCAACGATCAAACACGTCTCTGAACATTGCCAAATGGTCTCCAGTTGAAAACCACTGTTCGGAGTTAGGATTGATCCAGAGGCCTGAAGTTCCCGGCCCAGTGCTGAAGACTCCCAGCCTCACATAAAGCAGATCTGAGCTCTACTGTATCCCCTCCCTCGGCTAAGACCCCTCCACCACTGTTCCATCACAAGGAACACTTCTGGCCTATGAGCCTTCCTTCTTGGTGGTGGTGGTGAGGACCCCAGAGGACTCTTAGCCTGCTGACCCCTCTTCCCTAACTCTCCCGGGCACTCGTACCACTGACAGGGGCCAAAGAAGCATCCTTTGGCTGAGCCCTAGAGGTCAGCCCACAGTTAACGCTCAGAACCAGGCCCTCTGCAAGCTCTGGAAACACTGGATGGAAGAGAGGGGCACACAGATTAATGCACGTTCAGGACTGCAGGCTCCAGGCAGGGCTGGTCTGTTCATCAGGCACAGAGGGCACAGCGCCCAGGGCCCTAGGAAATGTTTTCATTTCTTTTGAAATCAGAAGAAAAAAATAAACTTTTAGGTCAAAGCAAACGTCTTCATATAACACTGATACGTTTGCAGTTATAAAATACGATTTTATAATTCTTCTGTGTTTGCCCACAAAGGCAAACATGTCTGGTGCCCCCAAAACTCATAATGCAGCCCCACTCCAGGTCCCAGAGACAGGGCTCAAGTGGGCAGTCCTATCTCAGAAGGACAGAGGTGGCTTCCTGTCCCGAGATGTCCCTGACGGCTCTGAGCGGAAGGTCAGTTCGTCCACCCTCACGGAAGCCATCTGGGTTCAAGGGTATGTTTCATTCCATTCCTTTATTGATCTCATCATTGCCAACTAAAGTGCCAATAAGATGAGGAAATCCATGGGCCTGGTCTGCTGACGCAGGTGCTGACACCCCACATCTTGAAGTGGAAGCCCGGGACAGGGAAATGCAATTGTTGACTGGGTGGAGATCAGAAAGGACCGCAGGCCGAGAAGAGCCTTGATTCCTTGACTGATCCTATCCCCAGCCAAAGAGGTTCAGGGATTCAGCCTCCAAAGTCTGATTGCCTGGCTGAATCCTAGCTTTACCAC